CAGAGTGGTATCATCTGCATATCTGAGGTTGTTGATATTTCTTCTGGCAATCTTAATTCCGGTTTGGGATTCCTCCAGTCCGGCCTCTCGCATGATGTATTCTGCATATAAATTAAATACGCAGGCGGACGATATACAGCTTTGTCATACTCCTTTCCCAATTTTGAACCAGTGTTTCCATATCCAGTTCTAACTGTTGCTTCCTGTCCCACATATAGGTTTCTCAGGAGATATATAAGGTGGTCAGGCACTCCCATTTTTTTAAGGACTTGCCATAGTTTGCTGTGGTCCACACCGTCAAAGGCTTTTGCATAGTTAATGAAGCAGAAGTAGATGTTTTTCTGTAACTCTCTGGCTTTCTCCATAATCCAGCGCATGTTAGCAATTTGACAGACAGACAGACAGACAGAAACCTTTATTGACATACTGTACAAATTAAAACAATGAAATAGAGCTAAAATGTTCAATGGCTGACAGGTAGCAGGGAACAGCTAGATGCATATTTAGGGCTCATCATTCTGTGAAGCACACTATGACATCTGTGCGTAATGGCATATACGTATCTAGCAGTTCCTTAATAGTGCCTCTTAGGAGATGTTGAGTTTTTCTCAGATCGTCCCATCCGGAGTGGGAGGAGAGGAAAGTGCTCGAATAAGACAGACGGATGTCCTTATGCAAAATACAGTAGAATAACATATGCTGCAGGGATTCAACCTCTCCCTGACCACACGGACATACTCTCAGTTCTATAGGTAAACCCATACACCTGCCCTGCGCTAAGCTCGATGGTACTATATTGCATCTGGCAAGGGTAAATGCCCATCAATATTGTGGCTGTTCTAAATGATAGAGATAGTTCGGTCTACTGCCATGGGTGAGGGCAGCTGAAAATAAAGTGGGGAACAGACTCTTTGGGCAGCGCTATGCAGAGTTTGCCCCTCTATATCCAGAACTCTGTTTTTGATTGTATGGAACACCCTGGTGGGGGGTATTGAGCCCAGCAGATCTGGTGACAGCCCCAGGGTCTTGATTTTCTTAAGAAATAGGGCCAAACCTTTTGGAAACTCTCTGGCTTTTTCCATAATCCAGTGCATGTTAGCAATTTGTTCTTTATTTCCTCTGCCCCCTCGAAATCCAGCTTGTACTTCTGGAAGTTCTCGGTCCACGTACTGCTGAAGCCTGCCTTGGAGGATTTTGAGCATAACCTTGCTAGCGTGTGAAATGAGTTCAATTGTACGGTACTTGGAGCATTCTTTGGCATTGCCCTTCTTTGGGATTGGGATGTAGACTGATCTCTTCCAGTCCTCTGGCCACTGTTGAGTTTTCCAAACTTGCTGGCATGTTGAATGTAGCACCTTAACAGCGTCATCTTTTAAGATTTTAAATAGTTCCACTGGAATGCCATCATCTCCACTGGCCTTGTTGTTAGCCATGCTTTCTAAGGCCCACTTGACTTCAGTCTCCAGGATGTCTGTGTATTCTTGGCACCTCTTCTTAATATCTTGTGCTTCTGTGAGGTCTCTCCCATTTTTGTCCTTTATCATGTTCATCTTTGCACAACATGTTTCTTTAATATCTCCAATTTTCCTGAACAGATCTCTGGTTTTTCCTTTTCCATTATTTTCCTCTATTTCTTTGCATTGTTCATTTAAAAAGGGCCTCTTGTCCTTGCTGTTCTTTGGAAGTCTGCATTCAATTTTCTGTAACTTTCTCTATCTCCCTTGCATTTTGTTTCCCTTCTCTGCTATTTGTAAGGCCTCGTTGGACAGCCTCTTTGCCTTTTTGCATTTCCTTTTCTTTGGAATGGTTTTTGATGCTGCCTTCTGTACAGTGTTACGAGCCTCTATCCAAAGTTCTTCAGGCAGTTCATCAGAAAAGCCAGGGATCATTGTGTGAACATTCCAGGTGCCCAACTTTAGGGCAGAAGTTTCCTTACAATTGTTGCATGGTGCAGGGTTATCGATCTGCTTGTCAGCTTTCACCCTAAACCCCACGCATCCCATGAGGTTAACAGACCATGGCAAGGTAGCTGTTTACTGACTGGAGACTGCCCAGCTTAATGTGGGCAGTAGCTACCTAGTGAGGTACAGTGATCTCTCCCTCTGTCAGAAGTAGCCCGTGGCGTCATGCTCTATGCCTATCGAGCAAAGACTTATAACCAGCAACTGCTACTTCCCGTGTTGTTTTGATGCTGTGTGTGAAGCTGGAGTGTCTTCTCCAGAGCCCGAAGCCTGGGCAAAATAAC